GCTGCTGAAAGCAGGGATCTGGGTTTGTTTGGGTTCTATAATTGTAACACTGTTTCGGTCCTGCTCGCTCCAGCTCTGACGGCTGAAAGCAGGTTTCTGGAGTTTTGTTTAGCTTCTATATTTGCAACAATGTTTCTTAGAGAGCAAGCTCAGAGGCCGGCAAGGCAGGCAGGGAACCTTGGCTTCCTCCGTCACTGGAGCAAGCAAGCCTCCCTGTTCACTTCAGCTGCCTGGCTGCCGGCCGCCATCTTGGTTGGCAGTTAATTTGCATATCGCCAATGGGAAGGGTAGCGAAGTTACTGTTAATTACCATGTTTCTCTTTTATTACATAGGATAAGTGCAATATTAGGCCAGTGATGATTTAAGCAACTTAAGAGTAAGGGATTCAACAGTCTCTGTCCTCATGAAAACCAGGGTCCTGTCAATGCTACTATATGAACAAATGTCAGGAGTCTGGGTTCTAGCAATCTATATATATAAAAAGCCAGCGACCTGAATGCCATAACAACCAGAATGAGCAGTCACTATGACTCCCACTGCAGCCAATGAACCAGCCCGATCTGGGGGTGGGGCCCGCCAGCCAACCTCAAACGGCCCCTCCCCCCAGCCAGCCACACCTGAGAATGCCCCCCCAATAGAGGGTGGGGCTGGCTGGCCAACCTCCTGCAGCCCCTCCCCTGGCCAGCCCCACCCCAGATCAGCCCCCCACCCCGATCAGGGGCAGGGCTTGCCAGCCAACTGCCTGTAGCCCCTTCCCTGGTTGGCCACGCCCCTGATGTGCCCCCATCACCCTATTCGGGGGTGTGGAGAGCTGGCCCACCACCCACAGATCCTCCTCCATCTGGCCCCACCCCTGATCAGCCCCAAGCTCCTCCCCCAGACAACTCTGCCCCCAATTGCCCCCCCACACACACCAATTGGGGATGGGGCTGGCCAGTCCACTACCCACGCCCCTCCCCACTCTGCCCCCAATTGCCCCCCCCCACACACCAATTGGGGATGGGGCTGGCCAGTCTACTACCCACAGCCCTTCCCCATGGCTGGCCCTGCCCCCAATAGCCCCCCCACTTCAATTGGGGGTGGGGCCCACCAGCCAATTGCCCCAGCCCCTGCCCCCAGCTGGCCTGACCCTTATCAGGCCCTGATTGGGGTGGGCCATCCTGCCAACCTCCCACCATCTCCTCCTCCTGACAGGCCTGGCCCCGATTCACCCCAATTGAGGCCAGGTCGGCTGGACCCCATCCATGCACGAATTCGTGCACTGGGCCTCTAGTATTCTAATAATGATGACTAAAATAGGAGGGCGGTTTTCAAGTTCTAAACTTTTTTTTAGTGTAAAACAGAAGAGTGGGCCAGAGTGCTGACTAAAAGCAAAAAATTAAATGTAGAATGAAGCAAGACAATGTCACATGCTCAGTATGCTATAAACTAAACTCCTACTCTGACCCTGATAGGAAAAACATTTCCTGGCAAGAACCCATCAGACTAAGCATTACTAATAAAACACCCTGTAAAAGAGATAAATCTAAATTACTCAATACAATTCTAAAGACAAAGCTGTGAATAGTAGAAAAAAAGGACAGGATACTTTCAACCAGTAGAATCATATTTCTGTTGATAGGAAATCTGGAAAAAACCCCCCACAAAAAAACAACAACAACCAAGCTTCCTGTTTGACGCTGACCACATGCTTCACGAGATAATGTATTGGAAGGAGCACAGAACCTTAACCTTGGCAAAGTAAAAAAAAATAAATAAATTTGGAGACCTTATTTTTGTGAACAGAAAAAAATGAAACAACTGTCCCCCTCCCCCAAATAACAACACAACAAACTGCTCCAGGGGTAAGTGGTAATGTTGGAGAAAGAGA